TACCTTTAACCTTCTTCTAGGGACAAATATCCTAAGAGGACATGATGAATAATGCAGTAATTCCTGCAATACTCAGAATCTGTATCTTGTTTAAACACTTGGATAATGTCTGGAAGCACAAAGCCAACAACAAATTTTTGTGGGAATCAGGAAATCCATCAGACTTGCTCTCCAATACACCACCACTTATGAGGCTTGTGTTTTGCACGAACATATTAGGACCTTTACTGATTACATCTCAAATCTGTAAAATTCAGTCCCAAAGAATAAAAATAAAAATAAACTCTTAAATCTTACCCTTGGTTTCTTTCCCTTTCCCTTTTGTTTCTTTTTGCTTAACATTCTTGAGATACCCTTGAGGAGAATTTGGAGTCATCCCTTCAGGAGGAGGTGAGCGAGTGGCGGCTGTGCTATTTTCATTGTTTGGTTTGTGTACTGGTGAAGAGTGTGTGGAAGCAGAAGGACTTGACTCTAGAGGACTTTCTGTGCTTTCTCTTTTCTCAGGCTTTTCACACTTTCGATCTGCATCATCCAGGCATGGGAGAGGTAATTTTCCACTTGTTTCTAAGGTCTTAGTTAGGTACATAGCGGAAGACTCTCTGTTGAGAACACCGTCTTCTGAATCCTCATCCTTCAATAAATTTGAAAGTTACTTCATGATAAACATGACATATACTCATTTATTGTCTGTTCTTTTAGCAGGGTGGAAGGATGTGCTAAGCAAATTTTCTCAGTTCAGGAAATTTTTTACATACTTGTGGATACCATCTGAATCACATGAATCTGATTTTATAGGCTGTTACCCACCTCTATACACAACTTTCTGCACATCCCAAATAATCTTTTTCTAGCCAAATCAGAAATGTTCTGGTACACCTCAGCCATTCCAATTCAATTAAGCCAGTTTTCAGTCTATCTGAATTAGTTCAATGTTCTCCTTCTATCACAGGCTCTATCATATATTGACTATCTATACCTCAATTCTTCAGCTGTTTTCCAGAAACATGAGAACATTTTACTGGTATGCTTCTTGTGAACTTGAATGATGACTTATGGAATAATGAAGCATTTCAGAACTCTTTAGTTTTTGAAGAAATTTGGTAACTAACTTGTTCCAGGTGAAGGAATAAAGATAAATTGATACAGATCACTGTATCAAAATCTTTCAGCAAGCAGAAGTAGCACAGAATAAGCTCACACAGTTCTTTGCTAACTTCAAATTAACTGTGCCACAAAAAAATGCCAGAGTTCACATACATGTTATGAACCCTAAAAAGCTTTTTCACTTGATGCAGCATAAAACTACAATGCTGTGGCACAGCCTGAATGAAGCATGGAGAACACTTACAAACGCAACCACAGATAAAATTCAACACATGTTCAGTATCCAGAGTGCATGATTACCAGTGTCAGTACCTGTAGATTTGCAGTCTGTTGTCCACCCCCAAGAGATTCTTTCAGCTTTGATCGAGAAGGTGGCTGGCGTTTCACTTTCAAAGCAAGCTGAGCTTTTGCTTTGTGGGCACTGGTGTCTAATCTGGGAGTATCCCCAACAAAAGCATCAAAATCTGCAACAAATACACACTTTTTAAAAAAGTAAACAAAAAATCCAGCAAAAACTGGTAGGCAAGTTCACCAACCCACTGTCCAGAAAAATATTCAGAGTTTAGGTGAGAATTATTCTACATGTTAACCATTACTGGTATGAAAATACTTTTTATATTATACTCCACTATTTTATACATTGCAACTGCAATTTCTATTTAACTTGAAATATACTTTTACCCAACTTTTTCAATTTCAAGAATGTAATTGTCTTATGGATTGAAAATGTTATGTTCTCAAACAGGTGAAAATCTGTGCTTTCCTAGCTCCATTCCTTAGGATAGAAACTCTTAATAAATTTAACAAATATTTCAAAAATTTAATTCTCATTTGAACTGCTGTTTCATAACATTCTGTACATAAAATTACAAGACATAGCAAGTTTACTGTAAATTATAGCTTCAAATCAGTGGGATTTTAACTGACATATCTCAGTGTTTTTTCCCACTATTAGTTTCACTAACAGAGAATCTGAAGAACAATTCAAATAGTTGTCTCTCCATCCATCTCCTCTTTCCCACAATGTTTAAGAAATACATTGCAGCCATATTGAAAA